GAAAGTAAAAAGTTTCAATTACTCAAACAACGAATCATAACACGCGCAATTCCCTCAAGATCGTGTGTATTTCTATAATCTTCGATCTCGTTGCAAACATTTATTTTCCTTTATTTTTCTTTTTACTTCCTTCTAATGGCTCACGAATAATATCTAGAAAGTAAAAAGTGTTTCAATTACTCATTTAATAAACGATAACATGCGCAATTCCAAAGATTGTGTATATTTTCACAATCTTCGATCTCGTTGCAAACATTTCTCCTTCTTTTCCTTTCTTCTTTTTTCGCCCTCGTTCGAGTCACGAATAAAATCTAGAAAGTGTTTGAATCAAACNGAATTATAACACGTGCAATTCCAAAGATCGTATATATTTCCACAATCTTCGATTTCGTTGCAAACATTTTTCTTTCTTTTCCTTTCTTCTTTTTTTGCCTTCGACGAGCCACGAATAAAATTTAGAAAGTGTTTGAATCAAACAACGAATTATAACACGCGCAATTCCAAAGATCGTGTATATTTCCACAATCTTCGATCTCATTATAAATATTTATTTTTTATTCTTTTTCTTTTCTTTTTTTCCTTTCCTCCAACGAGTCACGAATAAAATCTAGAAAGTGTCTACTCAAACAACAAACTATAACACGCGCAATTCCAAAAATTGTGTGTATTTCCACAATCTTCGATCTCGTTGCAAACATTTTCTCTTCTTTTCTTTTCTTTTTTTTTCGCCCTCGTTCGAGTCACGAATAAAATTTAGAAAATAAAAAATGTTTACTCAAACAATAAACCGTAACACGCGCAATTCCAAAGATCGTGTATATTTCCACAATCTTCGATCTCGTTGCAAACATTTCCCCTTCTTTTCCTTTCTTCTTTTTCCACCCTCGTTCGAGTCACGAGTAAAATCTACAAAATAAAAAATATTCGTAAAATGTATTTCAATTACTCGGAACCGTATTCGTGGAATTGAACGAAGCGAGCGACTCGTGCTCGCACGACAATGATCGCGTGCGTGACCAGGATGACGTTCACCAGTTTATCAATGAGCCACGATCCACTACTCACCTCCCCCTACCATATCCAATTACCATTCTTCCCTCTTGTAATCCACAAGATTGCCCATTAACCCTCGAAAGGGGAGGATCGAGACCTCTCCCTCCCCCTCTCTCTCTCTCGATCGTTCCGAAAATTTGGAAAATTTTTCCAGACGACACCGTTGTCCCCACAACCTGGTCGCCCAGGAGCACCTGGAAATCCCACGGGACGAGCCGGTCCACGCGGTCACTTCTTACCGGGAGGAATTCGACGAGAAACGCGTGGACAGGCAGACGGTGTACCACCACGAGGACCACCTTCGAATGGAGGGGGATTTCGTGGGGGAGAGGCGGACGGATTACGTGGCGACGAGGGGCGAGAGGGCGCCGGTGAGGAGGCCGCAGGACAACCTGAGGCCGGAGGGGGAGTTCGTCGGCAGACCGAAGGAGGAGGCGCCCAAGAAGGGGGACAGGGCGGCCGTGANCAGGCCGAGGGATAATCTCAGGCCCGAAGGGGAATTCGACAGTGAGATATTTTCCTTCTCTCGAAAAAATCAAGAAAAATCCTTTCTCACTTTCTCCTCCTTCCTTTCTCTCGCTCGAGAAGGTACGACTACCACGGAGCTGGTGTTCACCGGTACCCCCGGCGAACGGCCCAGCCCAATACGTCGCAACACTTACACCAAGGTCGAGGGGGAATTCGTCGACTCGACCACCACGAGGTCGGAATACGTGGACCATCGAACGGTGCAACGGGCTGAGATCGTGAAGCGTGCGGACAACCTCACGGTGGGAGAGGGTGAATTCACGGTAAGTGGAGGAAAGTTGGATCGAAGTAAAGTTAATAGATGAATTTAGAAATGGGCGATGAGAGAGGTTGCCTTCGTCACGGTTAACAATTTTTATCACGGGTTTAATCGCTGATCGGGGACGAAAAATTTGCGATAGGGTACCTCTCGTCTCAAGGAGGATTTCCACACGTACGACGTGGTCGAGAGAGAGCCGAGGAGGCGGCTCACTTATACCGAGGAGGAGGAGGATCGCTTTTACGGGAGGACGGACGTGTTGGAAAGCAGCACCACGACGCAGGAGGAGTATCGAAGTTTCGATCGCACCGATTACAGAAGCACCGCCGTGATCAGACGGGACGATAATTTGAAGCCGGAAGGACCGTTCGAAGGCGTGCCGCACACGAAACAAGACTACGTAGTGCCGCCGATTACCAAGAGACCCGAGCCTCAGAAGCCTAAGGATAATTTGAGACCGGAAGGACCCTTCGAGGGAAGGCCCAAAGACGATTACAAGCCTACTAGAGGTGAACGGCCGGAAGTAAAGAGACCAGAGGACAATTTGAGACCTGAAGGACCGTTCGAAGGTCGTCCAAAGGATGACTACAGGCCAACCAGAGGAGAAAGGGCTGATGTGAAGAGGCCTGAAGATAACTTGAGACCGGAAGGTCCTTTCGAAGGTCGTCCAAAAGATGATTACAGGCCAACCAGAGGGGAAAGGGCTGATGTGAAGAGACCAGAAGATAACTTGAGACCGGAAGGTCCTTTCGAAGGTCGTCCAAAGGATGACTATAAGCCAACTAAAGGGGAAAGGGCTGATGTGAAGAGGCCTGAAGATAACTTGAGACCGGAAGGTCCTTTCGAAGG